TGCCAAGCGACGAAAACCCAACCCCGATGGCAAACACCGGGGGGGTGTGGCACCGGGGGAGACAAATTGCCTACTTTGCAGACGAATGACCACCAAGTGTCGGCAAGGATCGATGGCATGCGCGCCGCTCCAAAGTGGTTGTTGTTGTTTGATTTTCAAACCCTTTTTTTCTCAGTACAGTACCTTCTAGCACCCATAAGTCCGACTGACGCGGACGCATTTTCTGGTCGCAGCTAAACTACCCCAAAACGTTGCCTCCATGACAACCCTCAAGGAGGAAGCAAAAGGACTCAGAAAGGTCAGCCTAAACACGGTGTGCATAGTCTACTCAAGTACTTCAGGCACTGGTGTGCGCCATCCAACATGTTGACCCAAGGTGGCCCCACCTATACAGTCTCCTCCTTCCCGCCCGACGCCGCAGAAGCCTTCGCCTCCGTTGCTGACTTTTACCACATCCACGCAACAGCAGGTGCGGGCCGGGAGGTATTTGTGAACGCGGTTGCATCGTTTTGTGGAAACAAAGAGGTATCTCAAGGGTTCCAAGCTCGTGTATTGTGTGCTCAAAGCCTATGCAATCCCGTAGTCTTCGCAGGGTGACTGTATTCAGGAAAGATGTTGGATAAAGCATAAAATCGTGGAAGTTGGCTTTGCGTTAAGGCTAGGGAATAGGGTCTGGGTACCCCTCCCTGTTCTTTTTCCTTGAAATACTGAATTTCCCGCGAAGGCGGCCCATGCAATCATTGGCGACCTTGACACAAGAAAAGCAACCGATCGGACAAGCGCCACCCGCATCCCAAACAGTAATCCATCAAAAGAAGGAAAACCTATATCCAGTCCATAGAACCGATTTTACTCTCTCAAGTATCCTGTAATGTTCTTCGACCCACACCTGCTTCTCCGACAGCTCCGCCCTGCGATTGAGCGAGGTGACGACGGTGCGATCGTGAGGACCTTTTCCCTTCGTCCAAATAGCCATGGCCCTTGCGCAGAGAGGCTCGGCTTCGGAGCCCTTGCCCTGCGACACCACGAAACGTGCAAATAGAATGTGGTCAAGGCTCGACATGCGGACATCGATTCCCTACCTTATCACCTGGTTGTTGAGAAGAAAGTATGGCCATTTCGGGACATTTCTCCCCCTTTCGACCTCCCCGAACTACAACAGTCCTCCAACATTTTCACATCTCCAACAGGAGTCTGAAATCGGGAGGTTGGTATTCGGCGGTGGTCGATCAACAATCGCTCGCCCAAAGTCTGCTCGTACAGGACAGCTTCAAGATCCTGCAGCCCAGCGACTGCGCTGGAACCACCCACAAAATTACGAAAGGCAAGTGTCGAAACAATGGTCCTGCCATGCCAGCGTTCAAGCCCGCAACCGACGTCAGTCTGGGTACGCATTCTCGGTGACAACCAAACAAAAGCATCGAATACTCCACTGGCTGCAGTAATCGTGGGTTCCACGCGCCGTTTGCCGGCCCATCACCGTAAATACGAAAAACATTTCAAATCTGGCCAGCGAGCTACAGATTCACTTGACAGGCTTGGTAAGACGACTCCAATTTCGCAGCATTTGGGAAGTCCCGGGTATCAAGCACAAGACAAAACGCCTGTTGTCTGTTTGTAGGATCTGCAGGGACGTCTCGAACTCCCCCGCCAAGGAAAGCCGACGCCTTATCGACCAGCACAACCCACTTGGCCGACATACAACGGCGGGCTTTCGTGTTCCTCAACTTCCTTTTCACTCCCACCTGTTTCTTCAATGTCTCCGCCAGGTTGTAGAGGTCAGCAGCGACCGCGGCGGGGTCAAGACCATGTTTACTTTCGGACATCGACACTAAACGCTTAAAAAGCGTTTCGGCCTTCTCGAACTTGCCCTGGAATGCAACAAATATGTGGGTATCAAAGCGAAACGAATGCTGTCAAGGTTAGTGAAAGTTGTCAAGGTTAGGCATGGAGGGGAAGGGTAGAGACTATTCAATCTCTCCCATTGCCAGAGGTGGCCGTGTTGGGGTGATGTACCTCCAAAAACTAAATACATCGTGCCTCTCTTGGGCACCGGAAATGCTCTTTCCGACAATACCGGTCACCTTCAGAAAAGCGCAGTGTGGGTGCAAAGCACTAAGTCACTCGCGATGAAAACATTTGTCAAGAAATACGAATTCAAAAATGTGTGTCTTCCTACCTGGCCCATCACCGACAAAGCCTGACCGCGGAGAAGCCGAGCGAAGTAGGGGTGCTCTTCCCCTACTGACGCACGTAAAATATCCAGGGCCCGCACGTACAACAGCTCGGCCGCGACATCTTGTTTTCCCTTTGAACGTGGCAGGAAAACGCGATGGGAACGGGGTCAAGGGTAGGAAAGCCTCCGCTACAGGTCGGGTGTCGTTTCCACCGGCAAGCGCTAAGGGCCGAAGACTCTTACCCACACACGCGTGACCTGTGAATGGCGGGATCGTTTTGGCGTAGGCGGCCTCAGCCGGGGACCAAAAGAAACATCCCATATCCTTCCTGGGACCACCACAAATGCGATTTACCGCACTTCGTAGCGCCAAGCGCAAAACACAAGAAAAGCTCCTGGAAAGCATGACGTTCTCGACCTGTCGAAGCAGTGACTCCGCCATGTCGTTGAGCACACCCGCTATGGCAGGATGAGAAGCCCCAAGATTTTTCTCGCTGATTTCCAGGGAGCGTCCATAAAGACGCCTGGCCTCCTCGTGCTTAGCCTGCGCGCAAACGGAACGGCCAGGGTGCGGTGCGTTACAGCGATTGGGAGATGAGATGGGCCATCATTGAGATGCTTTCAGGTGCAAGGCTTGTGTCGAAATGTGAGGGAGCAGTCCAGCAGTGGCTCGGTCAGTCTGCATGCGTCGCAAGGACATGATAAACCGATGAAGAGGGAAGCGATGGCGGAGGGTCTGTACATGGGATGGGCCGTTGGTTGCTGGATATATCCCATAGCGAACAACCCAATGGGGTTTGGATTATCGGCAAGAATCATCATCACGTTTCCACCCTTCAGCACAGTCCGACAGCGACCCTCCGCTGGACCACCACTAGTCCTTGAAGGTTGTCGGCTCAATTTTTCTGGGCTCACTCAACATCCTGCATGGGGACCTGAGTGCGGAGCAAAACCATTTCCCATCGCTTCCATGTACCTCCAGCCGTTTGTCATCAGGTACCGTCGAACATGGTTCCTTCCGCGTGGTCGAAGACAGCGGGAAGCACGTTCACGCCTTCAGTAAGACCCCGATGGCACCCATGATAGGTGTCTACAAGCATAAACCATATATGCCCACTGATTTGACGGCAGTAGGACGACCCATACCCATGGAAGCAAAGGGTCGTCGCAGAAATTGACGCTTCCGACAGGTGGATACACCATGTTTGCCATTTGGCCTGTGACACCACTCCGTCAGTTGTTGGTCTACGTCTCTGCTACCCCTTTCGTTTTGTTTGGACAAGGAAGGCCACACGAGGTTTCGATTTCTCCACCTTCCCTCTGCGCTGGTCTGCACACTAGTTAACCGAGGATATAATTCCTTAGAACTTCACCGTGGCGCAGGAAAACGAGAAAACACTGGGATAGGACGACCCCCAGAATTTCCACACAATATCATGCAGCTCCTATTTGCAGAGGTAAAGCTCCCAACGAGCGAAAAAAATGAAGGCCCAACGTGCGCTGAACCACCCACCAATGACGAAACATTTCACCGATAACGACCACTCCCAAAAAGATGCTCTACAGGATTCACCCTCACCTGATTATCGCACACCCTTGCCCGCCTGATGATCACGTCGACTAAATCCAGGTGCTCCGCACCGATCGTCTTCTCTCGAATCGCCTGTGACCGCTCTAAAAGGGGTTCAGCTTCCGCATACTTGCCCTGGAACACAACGAAACATTACGAGAGGATGTCGTCAACGCAACACAAATCCGCGCAGGACCAATAACGGACCCCCTTTCTCTCGTGGTGTACGGCAGAGAACCGCCAACATTGATACAATCTAACAACGGATGTGGCATCCACCAGAGAAACATTACTCGCCCTCACCTGAACCTCATACAGTGCAGCCCAATTATTGAGGTCCGTTGCAACCTCAGGGTGGTCAGGGCCGTAAACCTTCTCGTCGATAGCCAGTGATCGCTCGTACAGTGGCTCCGCGTCCTGGAAATTCCGCTGCGTGCGCAACAGTGAAATGCAGACGTGGCCACGGCCAGACATGCCAATGTAACTTTGAAATAGTGTATCCCGTGGAGGGTGGGGATTGTAACAAGGTCGGCATGATCCTTGCCAATGCCATCTACAAGGCATCATATTTCCTCATGAACGACGGCTCGCTTTAACCCAGACAGCACCACAGCCTGTAAAGAACAAGGGAAAGGGTAGTGAGCGGCAATGATTCATAAATAACGGGGCACGAAACGTACGTGCGGAACATACAAGAATCTCGAAGACGGGATTGACGCTCGCCTGACTCCTCAGCACCCCTGCCAGGTTGTTGAGCGACTCGGCCACATCTGGGTGCTCCGGACCCAGTGTTTTCTCTCGTATGCCCAGGGACTGCCTGTGGAGTGGTACAGCCTCGACACACTTGCCCTGGAAACGTCAAACAGTACGCGAAAACGAACGTGGTCGCCGCAAGCCACTGACCTGAAAAAATTCGGAAAGTTGTCCGGTGGCGATCCGAAATCATGCGCGAACAGATGTGGAACCGAGGAATTTATCGGACGATCCCCAACGTCTTGCCTGGCTCTCCATCAACACCGCCATGTTGTTGAGGTCCGCAGCGACCTCAGGGTGGTCAGGGCCGTAGACCTTCTCGTCAATACTCAGCGATCGCTTGTATAGCGATTCGGCCTCGTGAAACTTGCCCTGAGAATTACGAGCAAAACAAGTTGGAAACGTGTGTGGTGTAACAGATACGGTAAAGGTTCTGTGTTATTCAGGCTAGGTACGCTCACCTGCACAGGCATATCCATATTTGTGGAGTTGATATCCGTAGATCAGTCAGCAGCGTGTCACGGCTCTAGAAGGCAAGTTCATACAGCATCCTCACAAGCTCGATATCAGCATAGCAGGTTCAACATTCACCGTGACCCGTACATGGTGGGCGGCACAAGGATAAGGCTCAATTGATATTATACTTCGAGGACGGCGTCAAGTAGTGGGAATTGATGGGGCAACTACCAAGAGGAGGCGTTTGCCCCACGGGTCGGGGGACAGCTATCTTGGACACCTCTCCAGCTGGCTGGAGCGGGGGAACATGTTGGTCTGTTCGATTCCCCGATCATGTTTGCCTGCACCCTCCGAATGCTCGCGACCGTAGCGAATTATTCATCATCGTATTTACAGAACCGGTGAGGACGACCGGCCGGAGCAGTGTCCAGGGAGGGCTTGACATGCGGAAAAAGCTAGTCTACTAATGGTTGTGGTAGGCGAGCAATTTGGGATCGTTAGGCCGGGACACTACTGCCCCGATTTTCTCAATTCAACGTCCCTCCTCTTGCACAACGGCTTGACTCTTCCCCAGTGAGGTACACTGCCTGTGTTGAGTGCAACGGGACAACGCACGAACGGGGTCCATTAAGACAGAAACCCTTCACTGAACATTATTAATAGAACCCTACGACATGTCCATCCCTGAAAAATACGAAGTACTACTTATTCCTCACTAGGCTCCTTAGGAGCCCTGCCCTGTTACTAAGCGACTGGGCCACATCTGGATGCTCCGGGCCCAAAGACTTCTCTCGAATCGCCTGTGATCGCTCATAGAGTCGCTCAGCTTCGGCACACTTGCCCTGGATTCACCAAAGGGAAGTGCGAACGGAATAAAATCAAGTTCAGAATGTCAAGAATACGCAAACAACAAAACCTGGTCTGGTGACAAAAGTCGTAGTGTTATCTCTTCAGACAGATCTCCGGAACTTGCTGTACGAACAAATCGGTGATTTCCGATACAACCAGGCTATGCGTGCAGAAGTGGCCCACTAAGCGATACTCCCCGTGAACCCTACAACGTGTTCTAGAAACATCGTCGACCCTCACCTGTTTCTTCAACATTACCGCCCTATTGTTCATGTCCGTGGCGACCTTGGGGTGCTCCGGGCCCAGCACCTTTTCATGTATGATCTGAGAACGCTCGAACAGCCGCGCAGCCTCAGCGTAGCTTCCCTATAGGGCACACATCAGTGCGAGAGGAACACGACGCAAGGTGGAGAAACAAAGCCATGACCTAGCTTAAGTTGCATCTTCCACGGCGGGATCCACGACCCCAAAAGAGTATTCTGAAAGACCTCCGGCCTCTTCCTGTGGGACGGGTGTGTTGTTTCCCGTGGACCAAGGGGGTTGCCACTCATCAGTAGCCCATCGACAGCACTACACACCTTCCATAAATCCTGGTGCCTTCCGTCACGCCCGAAAGACTCTTAGATGCTTACCTGATGCCCTAAAACCGCTGCGCGGTTGCTGTTGGCGGTGGCAACGTTGGGGTGCTCAGGGCCTAGCACCTTCTCCCAGATCTCAAGAGCCGAAGCGTAGAGAGTCTCTGCCTGGGTAAACTGTCCCTGGAACGTGAAGTGGAAGGGGCGAATGGAATCGAGCAAAGTCCATTAAGCCGAAAGAACAAAGTGCAGCGAAATCGTTCAGTAGACTGAGAGAAGGAAAAAAAAATGATTCCGGCGAAAGCAATTCGAAACGACTAGACTCTCACAATTATCGAGAACAACGCTAGGATTCTTCCTGCGCTCCGACCCTCTAGGTTTACCATAGAGCTCATGGTTAGCTGTGTGTCACCAGACACTTGATACAGTACTTTTTCATTCAACATCCTTCGACTCTCACCAGAACACTCAACAGTCCAGCCCGGTTGTTGAGCGCGGTCGCCACCGCAGGGTGGTGCGTACCCAGCACTTCCTCTCGAATGCCCTGCGATCGCGCGTAAAGTGGCTCGGCCTCGCCGTACTTACACTGGGGTATCACGGAAATTTACCGAAAAGGGGGGGTTCAGACTCGACAGTGGGGACAAAAAGAATGCTCATCCTCTGGTTGAGAGCTATGGCAACAACATCGGAGGAACGTCGCCCTCGAATGGGTCCTTGAAACACTTCCGTACTCTTGTTGTGCAACTTCTCTGTTCTTTTCGTGCTTACGCTGCGAACGGTGCGAGGGATTGGTACTGGTGATGGCACCGCTGGTTCCTCCCCATCCACAATGTTGGGCCCCCTATCGAACATTTTTCGGGATTGGCTCGCCCGTTGTCGACTACATCAATCATACATATTTCAACTTTGTTGAGAATGTTTTCGTGAAGGTACGCGGGCGAGACGGCATACCTGACTCTTCAACAACGTCGCCCGGTTGTTGAGCACCTCTGCCACGTCCGGATGCTTAGGTCCCAGTACCTTCTCGCGTATGGCCTGCGACCGCTCATATAGTGGTTCAGCCTCCGCATGTTTGCCCTGCACAGCCGTGTCCGTGATGCTCCGAAATTTTAGCACCCCGAAAACGAACAACTCGCAGCCAAATATTGGGCCTGTAATCACCAAATGGGACTTTTGAAACTTAGCCTTGCCTCTCCACCAACCTAGACCCGCAACACGCACAGGGAACTAGACCTTTCTGACGGTTCTCACCTGCATCTTTAGCGCATACCCCAGGTTCCTCCTTGCTGTACTCTCTTGGAGCAAGGCCTCCCTCCAGTCCTTGCTGCCCTTGCCCTCAATGCTCCGAAAAGCGTCCTCGGCCTCTGACAGACTCTGGAGAAATCAACCCGTAGCATGGACAACAGGAACATCAAACCGATCGCGGGAGTTGCAGAACCTAACGAGCGAATATCTTCATTGCCTTCAGGACCTGACATAAAACAGGAAACGAAGGGACATCGTAAGTTAAGATACCATCTACACGTCCAAGTGCGACACCTTCCTGCTTCCTTCCTCAGCCTTGGCGTACTGTCCTGCCATAGTTAGCAAGTCCACCAGGCAGTACCCCGTCCCACGCCAATTCCCCTCAGCGAGACGGATCATCTCCTCCGTAACCTCTCCAGATAGGTTCTCGAACAGCTGTTCGGCTTCCATTTTCGCAGTTACGCTGAGCTCCCGCGCCCACTCGTACACTGCGTGTTGGTCGTGCTTCAACTCGTAGAACTGGCGGAGCTGTAGCTGAATCTCACATACATGCTCGTTCACGGCTGGATTCACTTTCACATCTCGGTAGCCGCTGGGCATCCAGTCGGACGTGAAGCCGTTGGTCACCCTACGGACTTCATGCGGCTGCAGAGGAGGGAAAAGCAAACATGCACCACGGACCAAGTCGCAGCGTGGCATACAGCTTCAGGCGTCTATTAAATGGGTGTCGCGGTCTGGGCATTCGGGAGGGAATCATGGTACGCGGATTGAGTGCAAGGTAATACAAATGGTCGCTGCAGTCGCTCGTACACGGAAGCTAGACAGCAGGCGAACAGCATGGCTGAACGAGAGCCTACTTTGCGGGAGCAACCAAACATTTGTGGACCTTCATTCACAAGCCGTCCATACCTCAGAATCTGATATTATTGCTCCCGCAGTTCCGAACACGGTGAGCACATCAAGCTCATACTTTATCGACATACAGCACACCGATAGTTGATATTCACTCGGCACCAGCTTGAGATTCGAGGCGGTTTGCTAGCCTTTGTGCGTTTCTGACCTGGAGACGTCCCAAGATACTCGAGAATGCCCGTGCAAGGTCTTCGGGTTTGTCACAGATCACGGAAACACGAGCCATGTCCGAAAGCATGCGGACGTTCCCGCCATAGGACGATTTCGCCTTTCGGGTTGTGCTCTCCGACGACTTGACTTCCACGCATTTAGCCTCGCACCCTTCCACTTCGTTGGCCACATCCTTGACGAGCTCGTCCAAACCCGATTTCGCCAGGCGTGCGTCTTGGAGGTAGAAATCTACCTGTCGTGCTAGTTGAGCTTCCTTATCGCCGTCTTGCAGCTCCAAGCAGACTTTGGGTTGTTGGCGGTCCGCCGACTGAATCGGGGCGATGCTGCGAAGACATGCTAACCCTCCATCCTTGTCGAGCTCGAAGCATAGACGGTCGTACGCTGTCTCAAACTGGTGTACAGTTTCGATCTGAAGGTATTTGAGCAGATTCACCATGGCGTCTCGTTCCACAGACGTTGTTGCGCTAATTTTTCCAGCTTTCAGGTCATCCTCCAGACGGCGAAGGGCCTTGATGTCGATCTCCATCTACAGACAGCAGCAGCACACGCGGCAAAATCGGCTCGACGCAGCATTCAGCGGTCGGTTGTGCACCACGGGTACCTTTCGTAAATGGCCCGATGGTAGATTCGTCGGTGGCAAGCTTGCCCCGACGCCGAGGAATTGAGAGGTCGGCAGCGATGTCAGTGGAAGCAACACTAGTCCTGTTTTCTCTTCGATGGTTGTTCACCCGCCGTTAAGGTGAGCTCTTGTAGTTACGAAGAGTCACGATCAAAGGAAACGGCTTTGAAAGCCGTCGTACTGTTAGGGGTATCAATCGGGCAGATTTTGGAGCCGAAAATGTGACCGGCCTATTCAGCGATTTTGGGGGGGGGGCACACGGATTGGGTTATTTTTCGGCTCTTGAGAGTGCCCGCCTATTATACTGATTAAACACTACATCACTCAGTTTGTGCAGGTTGTTCTGCGCCCAGGCAGCAGTGTGGCTCTTCATACGTTACACACACCTGGACGCAAGTCCAATAGAGGCGATTGTAAGCTCGGTTTTCCCTGAAAGTTAAAGGGCGGACGAACAACACCAAAATACATGTTTTTTTTAGATCTTTGCTCCACGCCCACGCCCAAGGCGACCTTTGCTCCTCTCGCAAAGCGAGCTTACAGCCCTCTACCTTGGGTTTACAGCTATACCAAACAACAAACCGCATCCGAATCGCATCAGCCAACCACGAGATCTACATGTCTGAAAACGGCCCCTCCAGTGGGGCTGCAGCGCCCACACCAGCAGACTCTCCCAAAAAAAGTCGAGGTCCGCGCCGTTCGGCAACAGGAGGCGCGCTGCGCGAAAACTGAATCAAAACAAAACGAAGTTTGAAGAGAGGACGGGGCAGTGTATGGTTGCCGCGTCAGCAGAAGACAACACGCGGCGCACTATCGAACGCGGCAGCCTCACCGTCGTAGAGAGAACGCTGGAGGAAACGAAGGAGGCGTTGGTCAAAAGTAAGAAAAATGTGGAAGAAAACCAGGCTAANAAGTTTGAAGAGAGGACGGGGCAGTGTATGGTTGCCGCGTCAGCAGAAGACAACACGCGGCGCACTATCGAACGCGGCAGCCTCACCGTCGTAGAGAGAACGCTGGAGGAAACGAAGGAGGCGTTGGTCAAAAGTAAGAAAAATGTGGAAGAAAACCAGGCTAACTGCAGCATGGCGATGGAGTTCGCGCGCGAGAAAGACGAGGAGCTCAAGTGGGAGCGGGCACGGAGACAGCAGGCCGAGCAAAAGAATCAAGAGGCTGAGCGAGAGAAGGAGGCGGCGGCGGCGGGACGGCGCCAGGCCGAAGAGAGAGTCCGCGCCATGTCGAGGGAGCTGGCCGGTCTTGAAGACTCGGCGAAATCGCTCCGCAAAACCAACGCCACCCTCTTGGAGGATGCCGGGATACCAATCGCCGCCCACGATTCGCACCCGGAGGAGGACAGCACCCGCAGCCTCGAGGACGAACTCTTGCTCGAGAAGGTGAAGGCCGAAAGGCTGCAGCGGAAGGTCGACTACCTCGCGCCGATCGTGGACGGACTCAAGCGACAAGCTTCGTACGAGAAAAAAAAGGTGCGTGTTTCTCATTTTTTTGGGTTTTTCATGTGCGTATTTTTGCCCCTGGGTGTGAGTCAACTGGCGCGTTCGGGTATCTGCTGCTGTGCGTGGCTGCTTGAGGTAGCTCTGGTGTCCCTGCTCGTTTGTAGTATTGCTATTGAATGTATGTGCTGTTGTTATTTGCCCTAATGTCGCGATGTAGTTGTGCGTGCAATAGCGCACGGATTCAAGCAAAATTTGTTGCTGTTGTACAAAAACTCCGCTTCCGCTGCTGCTACCTCTCTCTATCATGTTCCAGACGAAGCGAGCAAAGCTGAATCTTGAGAACCGCAAGGGTAACGAACCGGAGGGCGGGGTGGAGCAAGAGGAACCTGAGCAGGGGAAGGAAAAGGGTGGTGGGGAGTTGCTCTCTGCAGAGGATGAGAAGAAGGTGTTGGAGCGCGTCATCAGAACCGTCTCAAACCCGGCGGAAAAATTGGTGAAACTGCTGCCAAGCTGTTTCAGTCGTTCGTGCAAGGGGGGGTGTCTCTCAACATGACGCAGCAGCTGCTTCAGTCTACCTTGTTCCACACCACGGGGGTGCGACTCAAACAAGATCTCAACATTACGTGTGCCCGCAACACGGTCAAGGTTCTTGGTCTCGGCATTACGCAACTAGATGAGAAGGAGTTGGTGAAAGCAATTCTCAAGGCGCCGTTTTTGCTGATTGCCGGTGACGAGTCTCTCCTCAACGGGGACAAGAAGTTCCCCATCTTCGTCGCTTTTTTACGACGTAGAGGCGGACGCGCCTTGGTTTGGATTGTTGCGCGTATATAGCATGAAAGACAAGACAGCAGAAACGCAGGCTCAGCTTTTCTACGACATGATCGTCGACACGCTCGGGTACCCAAAGCACCAGGTGCTCTACGTATTGAGTGACAACACCGCATCTGTTTCCTCCGAGGGGAACGGTTGTGTGAAGCTGCTGCAGAGGAAGCTACGGGGAAAGGATACCACCAAGAAACGCACAAAAAAAGCTACAGGGGGAACCAGCAGCAGCAGCAGCAGCAGCAGTGGTCGTGGTGTTCAGCAACGAACGCACCGGCGGCGGCGGCGGAACGGGCGGGGGCGGGCGGGGAGCGGGCCAAACGCAAACAAATCGCCGCCGCAGAGGGAGCGGACAAAAGGCAACGCAAAGGGGGTGCAGGGGGGGAGAAAGGGAAAGGGAAAGGGAAAGGGAAAGCAAAGGCACCGCCGACTCCTCCTGCACCTACCAGGACGAGTGGTCGCAACAGGACGCAGACATGGAAAGCCAAGGAGGCAGATGGGGGGAGCAGCTCGGCGGAAGAGAGCGGGTGTGAGAGCTGAATCGTTTCATTGGTGTTGATACTTGCGCTCTGCGAAGACGCTCTCGTGCCTATTCGGGTGGTAGTGGGGAGGGCTGTTTTCGGTGGTTTCCTTCGTCCTCCGCGTGAGGTCTTTGGCGTGTGCCCGAAGTTGAAGTTGAACGTGACAATTTGTGATTTTTGATGCGTCCTCGCGCGCGTGAGCACGCACTCAACAAGAGCGTTGAAAAGCATGGTGTGGGAGACAGCAACGGCGCATCCGGTACTCGACTCTGTCGGTATCTGCCTGCAGCCGTCTGAGCTGCAGCCTTCGTTTTGTGCACATGGTGAGTGGTGCACACGGAGAGGCAGAGCGAAAAAACGATCTTTCGCTGTTGATTTTTTTCCGAGTCGACAAGCCACGTCACTCAACCGCTGTCCACATTACTCCGACTTGATTTCTGCGGCGGTCACCCGCGGCCGCCGACTCCCTTCCTTCTCTAACGCAACCAGCAAATCCTCTGCAGCTTTCGGTTCCAATACTCTTTTTCTGCTCAAGTTTTCGGCCGATTGTCGTGCGTGGGAGACAGTCTTTGCTTCCATTGCGGCCTCCAAAACGCTGTTGTCAGCGGCACGGATTTCTTCGCCCGTGGCATCGGCGCACACGATATCTCTAGACTCGGCTGATTTCCACCCCCCAACACGAACAATATCCATATCAGCCATGTCCGTTTTCTATGCGCATGAGTCGTACTTCGAAAAGAAGGCCTCGATCAACTGCTGGTGAATGGGAACGAAGTAGAATCGGTGACACAGCAACTTGTACAGGAGGGGAAAATCGAACAGACGCGCCAACGCTGACGTAACCTTCGGTGCACCCTGGTCAACCTCCCTGTCACCTCACCCAGAATTCGCATACTGCTCGAGTTCATTCCTCACAGAAAGGTCGCTATCAATGCATGAAAACAGCCCGAACGTCAACTCATCTTTCCTTCTTGCCTCGGTGATTCCCCCCAAATCCTTCACGAGCTGCGTTCGGAATTCCCTCTCCCCTCTCCGTGCGTGGCTCTCCCTCGTATAGACCAGGCCAAGCTACATGAAGGAAGGCACGCGCAAACTCCGGCCCCTCTACAGCCCCGTCCGCCATGATTCCTGTCCGAGCGTAAAACGAGGGGCATGCAATCCGCGCCATGCTCAGAGGTAGCTGCTGATGCCGCTCCATCCACTTGATCCATCGCTTCTTGAACTCGGCAAAAAAAACCTTGTCCTCGCTGAAGTTTGTCATGAACAATTTCTCCTGCAGCATGACAACGACAGCATTTGTGACCAGTTCAAGCGGCAAAAGGATTAGTGTCACCATGGCAAAACAGCAGAAGCAGCAGCAGCAGCAGTACTGGCGACAAGCACCAGCCGTTACAGCAGTGAAAGGTACCAGCACGACAAGCAGAGGGAGGTGGTAGCAGCAAGCGGGTGCGGAGAAATGCGGGAGGGAGCAATCAGAAAAAAACGTGAAAATTCGAGATGTTGCAAACAACCACGGCCGTTCACACAGCTGCAGCAGCAGCTGTGAGTACGGTTGCCTTCTCGCCAGAATCCCACTCTGTTCCAAACTGCAATACTCAGGCCAGCCACCACTTACCATCGGTTCAGATAGGGTAGTTCGAACGCGTTCTAGGACCGCCGCGAAGTACGTCTTGGGATCCTTGCGGATAGTTTCCAACTTGAGCAGCAGCAGGCGAGAGCAATCAGCAACCTCCACCAAACGCATCCCAGGAAACAGCCGCCGACCGACCCCTTCGCCCTTCAGAAAGAACCCGCCCTTGCCACGAATCCAATTGTTCGCCCAGTCGAACAACAGCTCCCCGAGCCTTGCCGTGAACACGACATGCACACGAACCAAAGGGTTTCGAAGCATGTACGCCGATTGGAGCCAGTAGTTTCTGAACGTGGTCTTGTTGAGGTAGCGAGCAGCGTACTCTCTAACAAGCTTTTCCACCTGCTCTCAGCGGTCACAGGGGAGTTTGGCCCCGTCCATAACCACCATCCAACGCGTCTCAGCAGATCTGATGAACTTGATGAGCTAGGGCTTGGCGTTCGGGAACTGCTCCTCCACTACCCTTTTCCACCGCTGAAAATTTGCGTTCGAGGATTCCGAGCGGCTTGTGCTGTACCAAACCATACCAAGAAGGGAGAAAACATGGTCGCGCTCCCACTCATGCCAGGAACCCTTACCAAGCGGGCCCATGAAGTACAGGCTGGTCATGCCGGCAGTGATAGAGATGTGCAGGATGTGTACAACACACCCCAGACGATGCGCATGGATGATCGACGGCTCAACCTCGCTGCTGCCGCCGCCGCCGCCGCCGCCGCCGCTGCCGCTGCTACTGCTGCTGCTGCTGCTGCTGCTGTTTTTTCAGCAGCAGCGGCGGCGGCAGGTGTCTGCGTGGCTTCAACGCCCGGCTGCTGCTCGGGTGTGTCATGAGGCATGTGTTCTGGAGTGGGACCGCGCAAAGGTGTTGTGTTGTGTCCCACAGCAGGGCACATCAGAGCACACACACAAGCGGCGCCCTCGCGCGTGCGCGTCAGGTGCTTTTAGGGAGCTTTCGGACCGTTCCGTGCAATTTTATCGGTCAGTCGAATTTCCATCAGGAAGATCCGAGGTCACTTTTTCAATTTTTTTCCTATACAAGCTGGTTCAGGGAAATGGATACAAGAAGATTCAACAGCAAAACTTCACGCCGTTTTTTGGAGTTAGACTCTGAAACTTTGCACACATGTACCTTGGGTCATTACGAAACGCTGAGTGGAGTTTTTTTTTTTTTTCCTGTCGCCGGATATCCGGGGTCCTAGAGATGTCGGGGTCGTGTGCAGCTCCTGGGACCCCGAATAACCGGCGACCATGGAACGAAATGATAAAAGCCCCGCCAAGCAGCGTTTCGTATTGACCCAAGGTATATGTGTGCAAAGTTTCAGAGTCTAACTCATAGAAACGGCGTGAAGTTTTCAGCTCCTGTGCCATGAAGTATTTCGCATCCTGGATTTCCCCAAACAATAAATACTTGATTAAAGTATGAAACGGCGAAATTCAGGTTCTTTTGACGCCCAAACGACCCCATTTCATCAGTTTATCGAATTAGTTCATGAAAATTCATAGACACGGTCTTTGGAATATATAGGTAAGGTGGAATCAAGAAAAAAAAAATCACCTATTGGGACAGATTTTTGGGGTCCCGCAAAAGAGGCTATCTCCAACGCAGTTTGGCCCACCGACGGCAAGTCATAAATCGACCATTTTTCGACCGTATTAGGCCAGGTTATGGAAGATGTCGACGAAACTCCATGCGAAGCTTCATTGAACTGTAACGGTATCTTTGGTTAGAGGGAGGATCACAAACAGCCATGTTACCGGCATGTTGGGGTCTGCAAGAGAATCTACCTACTAGACGGAAACACCGACCGTGCTGCTCCGAAGAGAGTTTTTTTTTCATCCCAGCGCGGCCTTGTGCCAGCTTGAATGGGTGATAAAACACTGTTGATTAATGCACCGAAAACGCAAACATGTCAACATGCATGGACCGGTTCGCTGAGGGTCACACCGCACCGAACGAATAACATGTCGAGACGGGATAACCCGATCGACATGCATGAAAAACGCACCCAGTCCATCACTTCATAAAAAAATACAACCGTACTCTGTGCAACCAATGCATTGGGCTATAGGAACTGTTCCAAAATAATCAAAGACATATCAACCGGTTATCCGGGGTCCTAACACACATAACCTTCCTGCTCCTACCGCCCTACCCCTGTATCCCTTCGAGAACCTCCGGAGGGTCGGCCACGCTGATGTCGCTCGTGGGTGCATCAGTCACCGGGGGTGGCTCCTCGTGAGGCTCCAGCAGCGTGACGTGTTGCCCCTTCGTTAGCGTGGAGAACATAGCCAAGGCCTGTGCGTCCATTGCAGCAGCCTCCTGGTCGCACTCTGCAACCCGCCGCTCCATGTATCTACGCTGTTCTGATTTGCGATCGCGCCTGACGTAAGCAAACGCCCCGTGCCCGAGTCCGGCGTTACGCAACCTGCTGCAGCGTAGGCGCATCAGAATTCTGGCCTTCTGCTGCAACCCCCTCAAAGCTCTGGCGCTTTCCGCTTGTTTTTGGATGGCACACTTCTTGGCGACTTCGCAGTTCGGCGTCGTGCCTGTAATACTGGTGGGGGGTAATTTTAACGGAGGACAGACCGGAACAGACGGCGATAGTATGGCTGTTAATGAAACTGTGCGATACAGCTTGGATACAAGGACTGTGTCTTGGAAGGAAAAAACAAAGAGCGCCTGCTAGAGGACCGTTACTCAAATTGAAAATAACACGTGAATGTCAATCATTGTACTCTGCAAAACACACAGCCTCCCGTCGTGCAATACGACAGCCCCTCAAAGTCAATCTTGGTGTCTGTGTTTATCTGTGGGTGCGGTATGCCCTTGTGTCGGTTGCTGCTGGACGCGACTTGTAAGAGTTGGGCATCTTATTTTTGAGACGGGTTGCATGTATACAAGTTCGGGCCTGACCTGTACACAATGTTTTCTTGTACAATTGCGTGCTGCTGCTGTATGCCCTGGTGCGTTCAATAAAATAGAGACAGGTTGTAAACACAAGTTCGGATCTGGCGTGTATAACCACTTTGTACTTCTTGGATGTACACTTGCGTGCTGCTGAGCACTGCTGTGTTCTAATAGAAGTACACAATAGAGATGGGTTGTACAATACACTATACTATTTTGTATCAATACAAGTAGTACTGCACTGCTGCATGCTGTACAACTCGTCTACTGTTCAAGATTGTCCGATGCAAACAACGGGATTCGTGCCGAGGTTCACCAGTACATACATATTTAGTCTACACATGGATGCTGTTGTACTGCAACTTGCCATTTTTTCACACAGCTACACTTGTCATGGAAAACACGCACCAACCATACGCATGAACGCCGGCTAGTGTTGTTGCACATGTCACCACCGTGCAGGCAACGCGCCCGCCTGGTTGCTATTTTGCTGCATGTTTCAACCCACCACGGAGTACACACCATGCCGCTTTGCTGCTGCTGCGGTTGTGCAGCACTGCTGTACAGCTGGACAGCAGTAGCTACGTGCAGCAAGTTCCGCTCAGCAATCGTAGACTCACCGTGCTTGGGCGACAAGCTCCGCCTTCGCATGGGCTTCTCCAGCTCCCTTGTCCAGTTGTCCGCGTCTCCGAGCGCTTCCGCCTTCGTCTCATACCTGAAGGCGGTGTTCTTGCGAATGCCCGTGGCATGTGGCGGTGGGTGATACGTGCATCTGAGCCTCCAACGCTTCGTGTTGCTGCACTGCACTGCGCAAACTTGCGATACTTTGCGTTTGTGGGTGTCAACGTTGGAATCCACACTTTGTAGTGGCTCCATTGTGGAGGGTCTCCTTGCGTACGAGACGCGTGTGCAGAGGTACTCAGCTGGTTGTACAGCAGCACCGGTGCAGCAGGAGCTGCGACAACGGCTGAGATTTTCAAAAAAAAATGCGGCGTAATTATGTTTTTTGACCCCGTTTTGGGAAAAGCCTGCATATCATCGAAATTTTTAGAGACTCCTCATTGGCTGAGGCAAGTAGTAGCCCATATCTTCCCAGGGAAGCCATAAATCAAAGTTCCGGCAACGGCGATTTGTTCCTTTGCTCGTGGGGGGTCACTTTATTACTGCGTTTGTCAACATTAGGTGCAAAATTCGTCTGGCAGGAGTGGTTGAATAAATTTCGGTCCATCTCCCTGAAGCAGCTTGTAAGGAAATTTGGTGCTTTGATACCCCTCACTTCTTAGGGTTAGGGGAGAACCCGGGCCGGGGAAGCCCGGAGCAGAACTGGCTGATATGCCTGAAGGACGACCTGAAGATGTTCGACGCCAGACACGGCTCCACGCCCGACAAGCGGAGCTTCTTCGAAATCCCGAAGCCAGACTGGGACGAGGCGGAGAAGGTGGAGGGGGGGGTACCGTGGCACGCGGGGGTGCTACAGGGAGCTGAGAGGTTTATGGCCTCTTGGCACAAGGGCGAGGAGAAGGCCAGCCGACAACGAGCCATCAAACGAGGAGACAGCAGGCCCAAAAATAGTCTAGATACGGCACCAATCAACGGGGCGGGAGGGGGGCGGGAGGAAACGGCGCGGGAAGAAAGCAAGCGAGAAGAGACCGACCGCGTGACGTGACATGTTGCGGTTGAATTTCAGCGACTAGTTTTTCTGTTGCCCTCTCCCCCGTTTGCTGTCGCGTTCAGACTGTCTCTACGGATATTATGCCTGTCTCTGTGCGAGTTTGTTTATGTCCTCGTCTGTCTTTGGTTTATTTCGTTTTATTTTGTTTTGTTTTTTTACTGGCACGTACTGCTGACCCTTGAGGTCCTTCCGGAAGGCTACCCCCCAGGCTGGTGGTGAGCACGTTCCACTATTTATTCATTTATTTGTTTCTGATTCTGTCGTTTTCTTGTATTTTATCGCTCTGCCAACCCTTGGGGTCCATGTTATTTTGGTATACCTTTTCTAGGTACGTTAGGCTGTGACCACGGAAATTGACCGAGTCAAGTGCTGGATAAGTACGGAGAGATTGAGACAGAAGGAGGTACTGGATAGAGTGACTGGGATGGTTTTTAATGTGAAGACAACAACAACAACAACTACTACTTGCAGCGCGAACAACAAGGCAAAAAATACCGCCACTTCAAATACGGAACTTTCCTGGAACGTTCGCTGGACGGAGGGAAGTTTGAACTAGATCGCAGGTTTTAGGTGCCTGGGTTTTGTTCTGGGTCTAGGATTGTCTTCGCCGACGCAAGGGAACACCAGCGTCGGAAACAAGGCTGGATCCCACTGTGTGAAGGGCAGGAAAGAGAGAGGACAGGAGGGAGAGGAGCAAAGGAAAGGAGCGAGAGTCAAAGGGAACAGACGCTCAAGGCATGGCAGTCTATTCTCGATAAGTCTACTGCACGCATACCTCTCGCCGTTTGCGTAGAGAAGGGGGGCTTCCACGCCTCTCCTGTTGCTGCAAATTCTTCCTGATCGCTGCCGCTTTTGCTGTTGTTGTTTCTCTGTTGATGCTACGTGCATCGCTGTGAACAGGGGACAGCGGGACTGAATGGGGCGCAACGAATGGAATGTCGCCCCCCCCCCCACAATCCGCTGGCTGGCAGAGGGCAAGGGGGGCGACTCATTTGCAATTCATGGACTGTAAAAGAGAACCACAGTCCAAACATCCAGACGGGTCGAAACCCCGGGTAGCCGCCCAGAGCGTCCCCGAAGAGGTTCTCCTCCCTCTAATACAAAAGAAGGCCCATGAAAGTAGCTACAATCACATAATCACGGCGGCGGAGAGCCGTCTGAAGGCGGCGACACGCACCCGCACGCTGGGGGAAGACGAGGAGACGACACACAACGATAACTGGTGAGATCCCGTCCCGACAGCCGTCCGTGCATCCTCTTTGTCTGTGCCTCACCCTCACCCTCTCTTGTGATGTTTTTTCCAGGAATACAATAGGAACCGCCGCGCCCGCGCCAGCGCCATGTGTGTGTTAGTCCGTCTCTTTGTGTTGCAGCCTCCCTCATGCTGTACCACGCTGTCGATGCTGCTCTGTACCTGTTGTTGCCGTCGTACGTACGTTGGTGATGCCAGTATGGCAGTATGGCCTGTTGAGCTGTTGCTGCCGGCGAGAGCTCTTCCTAGGACTACGGGCGTTAGATCCAGGCTCCGAGATGTTTTTGAATTTGAGAGAGGGTGAGAACCTCTTCGGGGACGCTCTGGGCGGCTTCCCGAGGTTTCGACCCGTCTGAATGTTTGTACTGTGGTTCTCTTTTACAATCCATGGATTGCAAATAGTCGCCCCCGAGGGCAAGCTGCTGTGCCACGCAGCACTTTCGCCATTCAGTGTCATGACAAAAAGTTCCTCCGTTTTTTTACGCCGGGCAGACGCAGACTGTACTATGATGGGGGGACACAAACGAACTAAAAGACACTTGGTCCAAGTATGCCTGATGGACACGGTTACGGACAGGTGGATAGCTCGGCGAGGCCGTAGTGAATCCCAACATAGGAGATCAGCTCACGGTGGAGCAGGTGTGTGACTACCCACAGGCGGCGGTTTGGGGTTGTTGTTGTTGTTGTTGTCTTCACATTAAAAACCATCCCCGTCTCCCTATCCAGTAACTCCTTCTGTCTCAATCTCTCCGTACTAATCCAGCACTTGACTCGGTCAATTTCCGTGGCCACAGCCTAACGTACCTNCTCGCACAGAGACAGGGATATCCGTAGAGACAGTCTGAACGCGACAGCAAACGGGGGAGAGGGCAACAGAAAAACTAGTCGCTGAAATTCAACTGCAACATGACACGTCACGCGGTCGGTCTCTTCTCGCTTGCTTTCTTCCCGCGCCGTTTCCTCTCGCCCCCCTCCCGCCCCGTTTTTGGGTGAAAGCGTTAAAGGCCTCACTATATCTGGCCATCTCAGTGTGACCTTCCCATAACACGTCATAGTTGAACTTAGCCTTGTTGCTGGGCACAGCACGAAAACACTCCGCAGTCGCCTCTGAGATCACGTCGGTCGCCTCTGTCCCTCGATGCGACTCTACCCCTCTAAGTCCACGCTTGATCACCGGGTCTAATACTACTGTAGCGGTGAAGGAGTAGGCACAGCTCAGGACGTGTGTATGTCTTGGTGTGTCGGCGCCAACATGCTCTACGACGGAACATGCATAGCTAGGGATCCCCACCCGGGCAGGGCGATTGCTTGTTACCCATGACGTTACGCGCCCCCGGCCTGCTGATGGCACTGGCGTTACTCGCCTACAGCCTCATAACTCAATGGATGTTAGGTGCTGTTGTTTCCTCTTTGCTGCAACGAGCTCCCGTGCGATAATTGTAACGTGCAGCGCGTTTTATTTTAGGGGGTCAGTCCATGTAGGGTCGCACCCTTGCTTGTTGGCATGTGGGTGCATGGGGGTTTGCGTGCTGTCCGACCGCCCACTGCGATGGTGGTGTAGGTTTAGCCCTTGCAAGCTCAAGCCTTGTACCGCAGTCGACGAACGCAAATAGCTCTAGTTGTATTGCACAGCTGCCGCACCCAGCAGGCGAATTGCTGAACCAGTTGGTTACACAAGATACCACGCCCTCCCTAGACCGATTTCCATAGCTCGAATACTCCCACATACGAGGGTGCATACGCGGAATCATACGTTTAATGAAAGCTACTATAATAACGAAACGGGTTACACGCCGCCGTTTTCGACGCTACAACCGTTTATGCTGTAGATAAATCTTCGAGCCTGGAAACCGGCCGAGGGGTGTGTGTGCTGTCTTGTGGTAGGGCTTGCTGGCGTCAACTTTAATTTTAAGGAGACAGTCCGCACGTAGGGTTTCGCCTTTGCTTGTTGGCATGAGGATGCATGGATGTTGGCGTGCTTTCCGACCGCTCGCGGCGATGATAGTGTAGGTTCAGCCCTTGCAAGCTCAAGCATTGTACAGCAGTTGACGGTAAAATAGTCGTAGTTGTAGCTGTTGAACCCAGCAGGCGAATCACTGGACCCGTAGGTTACACCAGATACCACACCCCCGCTAGACCGATCTCCAGAGACCGATTACTCCACATATGAGGATGCAAACCGAAACGATACGATAGATGAACGCTACGGACGAAACGGCTTGAACGCCGCCGTTTTCGACGCTACAACTCTTTCTGCTGCATGGGAATATTCGTGGTTGGAAAACCGATTGGGAGGGGGTGTGCTATCTTGTGTCAAGTTCGGCTGACGTAAACTTGGGCACTTCTTTTTCGTGCATAAGATCAACACCTTCTCCGTTGTTGACGCTGACCTGCGGTTTATCCGAACCTGACCCTAAGGATTCACGGTTAAAGTTGTTGGGCAGACCCCCCCCAAGGTACCATATGACGCGTAGAGGTCGTCGTGCGAGGGTTGTTGAAATATGCAGAGTCCTACGCCTCGTTGTTCATGTACAACACACGACACAACGCATTTGATCCTAACTCATTACGGCAGGCGGCGAGTAAGGTCGCACACGCGCGGTGAAATAAATTGGAGGAACAAGGCACAGGGGTGGGGGTGCCTGCGGGGGCGGAGGGGGGAGATGAGGAAGAAACACCAGGTGGCCATCCGGGCGTTTGCACAGGAGAGGGGGGCGAGGGTCAAACATCCGAGGGAGAGCTGTATCCTTTAGAGGAAGGTGGCACAGGGGTGGGGGCGCCTGCGGGGGCGGGGGGGGGAGACGAGGAAGAAACACCGGGTGGCGATCCGGGCGTTTGCACAGGAGAGGGGGGCGAGGGTCAAACATCCGAGGGAGAGCTGTATCCTTTAGAGGAAGGTGGCACAGGGGTGGGGGCGCCTGCGGGGGCGGGGGGGGGAGACGAGGAAGAAACACCGGGTGGCGATCCGGGCGTTTGCACAGGAGAGGGGGGCGAGGGTCAAACATCCGAGGGAGGGCTGTGCCCTTTGGAGGAAGGTGGCACAGGGGTGGGAGACGAGGAGGAAACACCCGACGAAGCTGGCCGACCACTGCCGGAGGAGGAGGACGGGCGGGAGCCTGGGTCAGGGAGAGGTGAGGGGATGACTCTTACGATCGGTATGGTGTCGCCGGAACAGTCTTTTGCCCACGACCCACACAACAAACGATGGCTAAAGACAATTAGGTGCTGGAAGAAAACCTGTCTGTGCATATTGGACACCCCACCTGTTGAAGGTAAGGATGCGTTCAATCCCATTCAGTTGCTGCGGTCGCATATGTGTTTCTTAGAAACGTTGTCGTTCATCCACGCCAAAACTGAACAGAGGGTTGCGGGATGAAGGTATGGAAGTGGAAGGCTACTGACGCCGCGTTACCCGTCAAAAACATTTTTTCATCCAACAGTAACCCAGACCATCGATTATCGCCGCGGACTTAAAAAGTCCCAGGCGAAAAGAGAGACACCCCCCCAGTTGCGATAGCGCGGCCTCATTGTAATGCGTGAGGAACCCTCTCTGGCGTACATCATGTTGCATGTCCATCATCAACAACACGTGTATTCGCTACAACTCGAAGTTTTTCTGCCGCCGCCTGGATTTTATTTCGTTGATAATTTCGACGACGTTTGGGAGGAAGGTTCACAGGGCAGCGATGAAGGAGACGGGTCGATAGACGACATGGACGACGGCGGGTTCGAGCTGGAAGGAGAACTGGACGTCTTCGATCCCGAGTCATGATTCATGTGCGTCTATGCGCTTCATACTTTTCGCAGGCGGTCCTTGTAGCCGGCATTTCGTCTGATTCGACCAGGGAGACATGCATGTAAATATTGGCAGTAGGTCTACGAGAGCACAAGATGAGCGTCATTATCTTGTGGGAGGAAATATAGCTCCACTTTTTCCTGCTTTCTACCCACGAAACCATGGTACAAATAACACCACCTCACCCAACCCCCCGCCCCTACCCCCCCCGCGCGCGCACCCCGCCATCCCCACCCCCCACCCCCTCAGACCACGAATGTCTTGCTCTATCGTACGTCTCACAGGTTGCCGATGGACGTCACCTATTAATACGAGTGTGTTACCGTCTTGAGAGGGTGCAGCTGTGCGTATGTCCGGCTGCTTTTTCTACCAGGAAAACGTCTACCTGCAAATTTCCTGTTCGACTTTTCTACCGTCGCACGAGAGGTGTCTTTCCTTGCTCTATGTTTCAAATACGAAAGTCATTCGTCACGTAAAGTTACACGTGGTGCACCACATTTTGTTTTTCGTGACGCACGATTATCCCCCCCCGTTTCTTATTGTTTTCGTGGTATTTAAGTATCGCGCTTGGAGGATGTTGTTGTTGTGTCCATTTTGATGTCCGTCCTTTATCCCTGATGACGGTTTAACGCCCTTTTTTTTCTGCTGTGTGGTAATAAATTATCGAGCTTGGAGGATGTTGTTGTTGTGTCCATATTGATGTCCGTCCTTCATCCCTGATGACGGTGTAACGCCCTTTTGTTTCTGCTGTGTGGTAATAAATTATCGAGCTTGGAGGATGTTGTTGTTGTGTCCATATTGATGTCCGTCCTTCATCCCTGATGACGGTGTAACGCCCTTTTGTTTCTGCTGTGTGGTAATAAATTATCGAGCTTGGAGGATGTTGTTGTTGTGTCCATATTGATGTCCGTCCTTCATCCCTGATGACGGTGTAACGCCCTTTTGTTTCTGCTGTGTGGTAATAAATTATCGAGCTTGGAGGATGTTGTTGTTGTGTCCATATTGATGTCCGTCCTTCATCCCGGATGACGGTGTAGCGCCCCCTATTGTTTTTTTGTGTGGTATTTATTTATCGCGCTTGAAGGATGTTCCTGTTGTGTCCATTTTGATGTCCGTCCTTCATCCCTGATGACGATGTAACGCCCTTTTTTTTTGTGGTATTTAATTATGGCGCTTGCAGGATGTTGTTGTTGGGTCCATTTCTATGCCCATCCTTCATCCCTTTCTTGGGTTCTTGGCTTGTGACTACAGAAAGCGTCCGCGACAGTTGGACCAATGCGGATATTAGGAGGTACTGAGTGGTCCCCTTAGGCGGTTGTTCAATGTGAAGACCACTTGTCGCCCACATGATGGGATGACCATCACGTGTGCGTGAGTATTGTACGGATCGCAACGTCTGTCCTGCGCCGTTCAACACCAGCCTAAGACCAACGGTACCATACAACTGCCGGTCGTGTCCTTCGTAACAAATCGTTGGGGTCCCACCATACGCCATAGACGGCGTTTCAACTTTATCCTTCGTCAGTACGCAAGCACACAAACAAACAAAACGAAAACGATGTCACCTGAAAAAGACGGGGTTAAATATCCTACTATAACTCTCGCATAAGCACTAACGACCTTACCCAGGCAAGGAGAAACATATTGCAGGTCTGGTGTGCTCTTCCTGCCTCTTAACTTTTTCCCACACAAACCACGCCTCCGTTGAGCTACATCTCCTCCCGCGGTTAGTAGCGCGCGGAGCATCACAATCCTGTCGGGAGGGTTTTCCTTACGCCAACGACCTCTGCTTTTTACAGGTTCCAGAAAAGTCAGTCTCGGCTTGAATGCCGCTCCCACGCGCCCGACCCGTAACGCCTGCTTCAAAATAATTGAAGAAAAATTGTAAGGCGGGCTTGTCACCACCCAGTCCGGTCGGCGCGTGTCGTCGACGTATGCCTCCGCAAAAGCGTCCGTGGTGGCGTCCAGGTGCGTATCGGCGACCAACCTGTGAGGCATACACCACTCAGACGCGACTCATGTAGGACGCAAGTATCTGAAGTTGGATTCCCTCCGGGGGGTGTACTCATACTCATAGTCGTGCATGCCGTAGTCGTTAGACCATTGACCTCGCATCCCTACAAAGCCGGGACGGAGCACGCCGGGTTTTCACCGGACCAGGCTCTCACATCACCAAGCGCGAAACGCCGTGAGATATTCGGCGAGTCGCATGAAGGGTGCGATGCATCGTGCTAAGGGTGTTCGGCATCTTGTGCTTACTTCCTTGCGTACGGATGACAGCTGCGTATGAATTAATTTATTTTCTGGTGCTTTCACTTCCAGAGACAGTTGTAAGCACTGTGTAACTGCCTCGAGGGTGCTTGACCATTTTAACACAACGTGGTGCGATCATCCCCCTTGCGCGGAGTGAGGGTTCTCCACCCCGCACAACATGATCTACTCGACCACCATTCATTATGAACCTTATACACATCTA